GACTTTTTTTTTTTTTTTGGTAGAAGAAATGTAACAAATTGGTGCATAATGTATAGACAACCTGGAATAAGAAATAGTAGCAATTGATAGTATGACTAAAATCCAATTCTGAGGATCTGTACGGTCTATTGGATTTGGGTGAACCCTAATTAATGTATAAAAAATCAAAGATTTACTTAAATTCCTGTTAATGTGACTAAAAATATACAAAAAAAAAATCAATAGTAATTGATGGCATATAGAACATGGATTTGGGTGAAGACGATAAACCTTAAATCCGAAAGGCATCTTGCAACCATGGAAAAAAGAAGAAAAACCAATGAAATCAAAGGAAGAAAAAAGAAAAGAATACATGTGTGTCGAATGCTTTTGTTCATTCGTTTGTTTGTTCGACCGGTTGGTACGTGCTCAATGCAGAGAGTTGTTGAAGTGAGAAATAAGAGGTTTTGTTCATTCAACCGATTTTTTGGTCATAAAGACCATAATCTTGAAAGCTTCAATTCGCCCATTTTGGGTTTTGATCGTCTTTTTTGGGTCCGATATTTTGGTCTAGAGGGCTTTCGCTTGCCAAACGGGAGAAGACCGATTTTTAGTCCAACAGATGGGGCCTATGACTTATAAGCCTTTGAGATTAGTTAGTTGTCAAACGGGGCCTATAACTTATAAGCCTTTGGAATTAGCTATGACTTACTGAAAGAATTGCCAAACGGGGCCTATAATTTCAGAAATGATAAGGTATCATGGAGAAATGTTCCTGATACACGATGAGAATATACTGTGGGACATTGTGGAAAACTATCTTGTGGGAGGCTGATTTCAATTCATATATACCCAGTCACATTACAAATCAATTTATATAACTGTTGTGGAGCATTATTATTGATTATAAAGCCCCTAACACAACATTTATATTTCAGTTGATCAGAGTGGGGATCCGGGGATTTCCTCCTAACAAAATAATAAAAAAAACGTTCCAACATGATCCCACCCAACTCAGTTAATCCGGTCTCTTGATGGAACATATTATGAAAAATTGACTATCTATTATGAAAACATTGAATACAACATATTATGAATTTGTGCAGTAAAGGGTCAAACCATAGATTTTCCAAAATTCTTTTATTCTATTTTTTTTTAATTTTGTTAAAAGGTGCACATTATCATGAAATGTATGTGTGTGTTTTGTCTGCCTTTATGGTTAAATATCTTGGCCTGCGCTGAGACCGAACCGAGTGAACGTCGGATGTGATGAAAATGAGTTTTCCCCACATTACGGTTGAGTTGATTCAGAGAGTATTCCCGTCTCTACGTGTGAGTTAACCAATCAATGGCCATAGGCGGTGTGGTGTTGTTATTAGAGGTGTATAGTGGGTTGTACGGCACAGCCGGCCCGTGTAAAGTGCAGGTCGTACCATTCTCTTCGGTGAAAAATTTGGGGGTCGGCTTGGCATGGCTCATGGCTCAGGCTCGTGCGGGCCTGTATCATGCCATGTCGTGTCATGGGCTGGGCTGGTCCGTGGGCCAAGCCTTGGCCCAAGTTGGGCCATGGACCGGGCCAAAGCTATTTTTGCCTATTTATTCAAAAAAAATTGAAAAAAAAAACTTAAAATTTTAATTTATATGAATTTTGATGTATACAATTGCTTATATATACAATAATTAAATAAATTAGTATAATAAAATTGAAAACAATTGTTTATTTTATTAATATATTATATACTATATATTACTATATAATTATAATTTATATAATATTATATATATAATATATAAATATTATGTATATGTATATATAAATATATAAATAGTATATATGGGTCATATTAGGTCGTACTACGGTCTGGGTCTTGCCGGCCTGTGGACTTCGAACCCCAGGCCCAGCACGACACGAACCATCGTATAGAGCCTAGCACGACCCGTGGGCTGTTGTGTCGGACCGGTCCAAAGTCATGCCAGGCCATGTCGGGCCACGGGCAGCACGGCCCGATTTACACCTCTAGTTGTTATGCGTTACAAACACACGCAGTCCACATGGAAATGTTTAACGTCACGACTCATAATCACAATTCACAATACACAACTTCCTACACTCGCAATTATCCATCTTTCAACTGAGCAAGGTAAGGTTTAGCTAAACGCTTTAGTTGTTCAGCAGGCTGTGGAATGGAACCAATGATAAGGTTCCACGCCAAAATTAAATACATAGGAGTATAGGACCCGCATCTTTTATAACGGGGCCATGAATTTAATACTGGTGTGGAACCTCTATCATTGGTTCCACAGCCCACTGAACAGCTATAGTGTTCAGTTAATCTGAATTCCCTTCAACTTCCCCAAATTTAATTCTTGACGTTGGAAAAATTAAAGGGTTGTTCTGTAGTGTGGAAGAGAAATTGGTGGGTGTAGACCGGTCCACACCACACCCTGTGGCATGGCAGGGATCAATACACACCACACCACAGTCCACAACTGTTTTGAAATGTGGACAAATTATGTGGACTAGACCAGTCCACACCCACAATGGCGTTCTGTACGCATTGTGTGAATACTTTTTGATTCCATTTATCTCATATACCTTTTATGAATGATCTACAAGGTTAATCATAAATAACTATTTTTTGCATTTTATATGATAAATATATTGAAAAAATGCATCAATGAATTAATATTAACCAATAAATATTAATTTTTTTATAAAAATAATTGTAAAATAATTAAAATTTTAAAAAATATATATTTAAAGTATTATTTTATTGATAAAAACATTAGAAATTTAAAAAAAAATAAAATATTTAATATTTTATTGACAAAATTATTAAAATGTGAAACGAACAATAGGGTTCAGCCTTTTAGTGAGAGTGTGAAGCAGGGGATCAAAAATAGATTGTAAATAAGCCCTAACCACGAAATTTTGCCGTAGATGAAAAATTGGGTTGTGGAACAAGATGCCTAAATTAACTCAATCTAGCGACGAGACACAGCTTCCTTCGCACACGTTAGTTAATTAAGATTGCACCTATTCATCCTTTAACAACCTTTTGGGAGGGTTTCTGCGTTGGGGTGCTTGTGTTAATTGAGCTGAGCTGGGGTGATTGAACACCGGTGTACTGAAGTTACCTTTATATTTGAATAGTGATTTGGGTGTTCAGAAACGTTCATGTCGAATTTTCAGATTTTTACCAAATATATAGCTTTTGGCATTCTTGTGTGGGGCCCAGCTCATAATGCCAAAAGTCACATCCCGGACCCCCAAACGGCCACTTAACTCTTGGCAATGGGAAAATTTCTTCCGATTTGGGATTTGCTCCTCAGAGCGCACCTCGCACCAACCTTCCCATGAATAACAATGTACAAGTATAAGTATCAGAGATGTTTATGATGTACACTTGAAACATGTTGTGAGGTTGGTGTGAGGAACAAATCCGGACTTGATTCCTTTGCACACGTTAATTAATTAGATTGCATCTATTTCCATTCTTCAACTACCCCAAATTTCACCCTTTGCACACATGCTAATTAATTAGATTGCACTTGCCTAATTATGAAACCCAAATTCCAATTCAAACCTCCTACACATGTATATGATTTACATTTTACACACAAGAATTAGACACTACTTCTTACTCAAGAGTTTAAACCATTAAGTTGTGACTTGTGAGTCAATCCTTGCATACAAGTCCCTTAAATCTCTTTTCTTTTTCCAATACGAGACTTTTCGTTTTATGCATTCTTACACATGCACCCCAGCAAAGTCTCCCCCCTGCGCTTTAATGGTTTAAACATGAATGAAACAACTTGTTATTTTCAGAAAAGTTGTATTACACACATGGTTTAAAGTATTGATACGCACAAAGAACAGGACTCCAGATCTCCTGCCCATGAGAACTCTGTCCACATCTACACACAACACACTACTCCTGTAAATTGGAAACATCTCCCTCTGCATAATACTATTTAGGAGAATGAGATGTTCTCCCATGTGTAGCTGCGATGTTATGTGGGTAGACGTTGACAGAGTTTGTGTGGACAGGAGATCCGGACTCCACGAACAGGTGTATCGGACGTTTCAATACTTCAAATTTTGAAATTCGATTGCACGTCTCCTTAATTAGAACATTCACTTTCCATCAGCTCCAAGAGAATTGAAACTTTTGGATCTAGTTGATTGGCTAACACAGCCAGGACAAACGTATTAAGTAAACCCAAAAACTACAAATAATTAATGATCGCAGCGACCTACAAGCAAAATGCTTAGCACCGTCAGAGGAACCTTCTCAGGCAAGGTTTTAAAATTTTAAAACCAATCTCATCAGGTGGTGAACGGTGACGCTGACGGTCCATAAGGTTGAACCGCGATGTCTTATGGGCCGTTTAAAATTGAATAATCCAATGGGCTTCAAGTAGACCATAAAAAGGGGGGGCCCTTCAAGTTAATGATTGAATTAAACGTAGGCCAATTGGGCTCGATTAGGAATAGTGACCACTGACCTAATAGTACACAGAGAGAAAAAGAAAGGAAGGAGAACAGGCTACACGTGCTGGGTCTGACGTGGAATCTCCTACACGTGACAGATGTCAAATGTGCCCTGGCCTAATCAGATATGAGAATGGACTAACCAAATCTGATAGCTATTTTACTGGATGCGAGACAATACAGTTTTAATAATCCACACCAGCCATAAAAGAAAATGAGAGATAAGTGACTAATGGTGCTATATGCACTTTTATGGCTGGTGTAGAGTAAATCGAATGGTCCCACCTCTAGTAAAACAGTTATCAAATTTGTAAATTTGTAATGGGCTTTGCAAATTTGAACCCAGCCAAAACTTATAACAGTCAGATCAGATCAGACCAGACCAGACCAGACCAGACCAACAATTTCAGTTGGATTTGACGGTCTCGACCATATAGTGAACACCTAAGGCGCTGGTGGCCGATGCCGTAGAAAAATTAAAGCGTCCGTTCTCCGTTGATAGGCATTTTCCCATGTGGAAAAGACATAATATCGGAAAAACTCACAGCAAATCAACTGGCATTATCAAAATTCACGGGGTGCTTTGTTTGGTCAAAGCTCTTCCGATATCATTCATGTCTTTCCGTTATGATAGAATTTAAGTCATCTCCTGAAAATGCAAAGCACTAATCGTCGGATATCAAATAGTCCTCTTCTCAGTCTCAGTCTCAGATTGACGTTCGAAACCAAAGAGGATGGTTTTGCTTATACAAGGCTCACGGGGTTCTCCCTGTACAGAAAATATAACAATTAAGATGGCCATTCATCAATAGAAAGAGAAATGCCAATACAAGACTAAACTTCAACAGGATCTATCCAGCCATAGCAAATCTGAAGTTTCTTAAGATGAACGATCTGAATTATAGAATCAACATTTGTATAATATGCAAAATGGCATTTACAAAAAATGTTTATGTCAGAAGTTTAATTAAATTTAGCAGGATAATAAGTACTAAGAAACGGTACTTAGCATCAAAACTAGATATAAAAGCATGATATGAGCATATTAAATGGGATAGTTGTGCCTATAACCATGTCCAGGATGTTAGGAAATAGTCATATCACACACTGTTTCCAGTATCCATGTCTCTGTCGGTATATTAATTAAATACTTTTAAACTGCAAATAAAACCATGAGATGATAAAGTAATTAAATAATTCTTTGGTTTAAAATAATCGAGGTTCTAATCTTTCGGGCAACATAACATGCATCAACCCAAATTGTTTATGGAATATAACCAATACCAATCGGGTCAATAAACAAAAGGGGCATCCTCCTAACCTTACCCCCAAAATTCTCTTGTTTATACCAACTGTCTAGTAAGTAGTAACCCAGGCTCAATGCCTAGGCAATGCTTTAATACCGTAATATTCAATGAAGCTACATTTATCCTGCTTGCATACCTATACGAGAAAAATTGACAAATGAGTTTTGGATAGGATCACTGTGAAGCCAGACATGACTAATAATGTTTACCATAAAATTGAAGAGACACTTCCAGATGCAGGAACTGAAGAAAGGAAAATTCCCACTGAAGAAGAAATCCATATTCTTGAACCAATAGCAATTTCATAATTTCTGGGTGATTCTTCTTCTTTTTCTTTTTCTCTTCTTTATGAGTAATTTCTGGGCGATTCTTAATTTAGTATTTTTTGAGTTTTTCCAAATTCACACTGTTTGGTAGTGTCTTAAGAGCAGGGGTTCATCCATTTTGCATGATTTTGATGTCATTAGATAGCTGCTTGAGTTATATACATAATGAGACCACGGTTTTGTAAATTTAATATGTTTAGTGAGTCAAAGTTATTTAATTAATAGGGTGTCACCATGTCTGTTTATTAATGGGATTTGAATCTTTCTATTTTTACAAGACTCCTTGGAGTTGTCTTTGGTCCGTTTGATTGTAGTAGGATCAGTTAAGTGTTACTTTGAGTTGTTTTAGAAGTCAGAGTCCTTTTCCCAGTGTCTTTATGGGTTACCTACAGGTCAGTCCTAGATTTGGAAAAGTGAGAAGTTGTTTAGGTCCAGTTCTTTCAACTACTACTCTAATTTGGACTTTGTAAAGGGAGATTTGGAAAAGTGAGAAGTTGTTTAGGTCCTAGGTTTGAATCTTTCAACTACTACTCTAATTTGGACTTTGTAAAGGGAGATCTAAATCCTTATTAAATCTACCCAGTACCCACTTAACCCATTTCCAAATTGCACAATCATTGGCTTGTTGGAGAGATAATTGAAGAACCTATAATATCACTGAAACTAGGGGCTATTACCAACAATGATCATACATGATCTTAGGAAGAATGCACTGGATATGGACTTAACCTTTGGCATTTTTAGAATAGTGTGGCCAATCACAAACTCAAATCTATGTTCTCACACTTGTCATCCTGAAATTTTATCATTATACCAAGCAATGCCCCCCTCCCCCTGCGCCAAGAAATAAATCAAATTACAAGAACCCATTCTCTTCTCTTCCACAACATGGCACTGAGCAGAACAGAATGGTGGAACAGGGTTCATGTAGACAGACCCATATGGTTGGAACGAGGCTTTGTTGAGTTCAGTTGTAGATTTCTTCCACAAGAATATAAACAGACAAGACTGCACCATTATAATAACCAATAAGGTCCCCGGATGCACTTGCTTAAAGAACACCACAAAGCTCAATCCCTGTGCTCAGTGGAAAGTCAGCTTGTTTGTGCTAAATATACCTTTAATCATTCCTTAGCCTAGTAAGTTCGTAAAGCATAAAAAGCAAACAGCTTATTTACTAATTCTGCATTAACAAGTAGCTTACTCATTTGTTTTGTTCAAAAAACAAAACAAAGATAGTGCATGAATTATGTATATACTAACAGGCTTCCAACATAGACTTCAAAAGAAAAGTAAAGGACTTGTATGTGTGAACTTCTCATCAAGGATGAGATCGAGGATAAGCTGCATATCATAAAACACAGACACAAAAATCAATAATTACAGGAAGACTGATCTATGCCAAGTCATAACGAGAATATAATAATATAAATACTAGAATAATAGCACAGGAAAAGGACCAGTGTAAGGAGGAGGATAGTTAAAAGAAAATAAAAGCTACACTGATACACGTTAACAAATCCAACCAATCAGGCGAAGAAGTGAGGTCAACTTTTTCACCAAGAAATCAAGGGAGGTTAGTGAACAGTAAAAGACACCAACCTCACGAATATAATCGATATTCCTCGCGCATAAAAGAAATGGAGAAAGAAATATTATGACAGAAGTCATCAAGTAATGGTTTAGAACCAGAAAAACTGATTCTATATCCACATTTTATTGATTACATCAAAATGAAGCACAGCGCAGTATCTGAACTCTTAAGTCTAAATTTAAACAACAAAAGGGAAAGGAGGGGGGGATATTAAGAAAATGAGTTTCAGGAGAAGGGTATAAATAGTAAATTTAGACCTGATCGTCGAAAGTCATCAATCAAAGGTTAGCAGACTGTGGCGGCGGGATAACATAATCAACCACGACCACACTGTCCAGTGAATCCCCAACCTTCTCCTTGTGCACTTTCGCCGCCTCCTCATTCGAATCCAGAGCATCCAATTCACTTGATCCAGGCAAAATAGAAAGCGAAGCAATTGAAAACCCCTTTGCCCTCGCAGGGGAGAAATTCTCGCCGAAACTAAACTGGTCAATCGAACCAACATAGTCCTTAACAGCTCCAACAGCTCCCAAAACCTCTCCCTTCACTCCGTCTCCCAAGCCCTCCTTCAACTTTAGAAAAGTCACCCGCATGACAGAGCCAGGCGAGGGAACAATCGGGCCATCGAGATCATCGGCCACCCAATCAACGGCCATGACGTCTTCGCATATGGGCAAAACGGAGTCTTTCACGACGGTCAAATGCTTGGGATGCGCAGAATAGCCGGCGAGATCCTCCTTGGTTCTGTACCTACTGTGCAACATATGGGTGAAGTTGAGGGCCGAAGATCGGTTTCTGTAGATGGGTCCGGCGGACAGGTGAAGAACCTGGTCGAGAGAGGTGAGGGCGTTCAAACCACCGATCATGGCGTTGATCTTGGAAGGCTCGGTGTTGTCCTTGACTTTGAAGAGAACTATGTGTTCAATGGTCATTTTGGCGGGAAGAATTGAAGACGAACAGCAGATGGTTTTGACAGGAAAAGAAGGAAGGGGCTTGGGCTTGAAGAACAAGGAGGAGGGAGCAGTAGAGGAGAGTGACCGTAGAGTTCTCGCACCACAAAGCATCTCTCTTTACTTTAGTGCCAACTACCAAGTCCGAACGCCACAACTCAACTCAGTGACTCACAACTCACAGGACCGAGAGGTTAGGGTCCGCTCCCGATGGTGATGGCGAATTTGGCGATTGCTGGATTACTGTAAAATGGATAGGTACGGTTTTTATCGTTCAGCACTTTCAGCCCGCCCACCTCAATTGGGGGAATGAATCAAAATTGGCCAAATCTCTAAATAATCCCTAATTTATAGTAAATTTGATTAATTATACCCATTGTGTTTATATGTTGTCTTAAATTACTTATTCCCAATTTTTCTAACAATTGATTAAATCCTCTCATGCTGTTAGAGTTTATTAACATTCCATTACAATTCATAATTTTTTTTAAAACCCAATATTATTCTTTTGTCGTTTTTTTTGCTCTTCTTTGTTCTTCAATTTTTCAAAATAAATTATTGGCCAATGACTCCTTGTTTTGACATTTTGCTTAAACGAAGAACGTTGGTCAATGATTCTGTGTTTCAATATCTTGCATGAAGAAGATCATTTTAGGTTCACCAATGAACGAAATTTACGAGAGAAACAAAACTGTCTGAAAAAAAAAATTGTTTTTTTCCTTTCCGATTCAAGAAGGAATAACTCTAGGTTGCAACAAAATTTACAAAAATTCTGAACTACATACAAACTAGAAAATTCTTTTGATTAAAGAAAGTTGGGGAGTCACGAAAAATAAGATAGTTTTCAGTAGAAAGGAAAACCAAATCTAGGCTGTTGAAATCCCATCTGGATTACAAATACCCAGATAATTTATCCTCAAACGCTTTATAATAGAAGAAAAAAAAAAGAAATGAAAAGTAATTCATTAACAACAAAAAAAAAAACATCATGAATTGAAGAATCAAGTGACTATTAGCAGCAAAGAGATGTTATTTAGTTGTGCTATATGTCCATTGTTATTAAGTCTACCTCATAAGAAGCAGACCAAAAGGGACAAAAACACAACATTTTAAATGGTAAAAATTTGATGTTGCATGCAGAAATTGGGGGTTCTAGCAAACGGGCAGTCTTTCGAACCAATGGGGTTAAATGGTGCACTATGCGATTTACGAACTTTGTTAAGCAAAAGTTAAACAATAAAAATACATAAGAGTATATAATTGTTTCATATTTTAACTTTTTAATAATTAATTCAATTGAACTTGACCTGAGTTGGTCGGTATTTTAGTATTTCGATTGACTTTGATTTAACAATTTTCCAACTCAACCAAGTTAGGTCAGTTTCGATTTGCCCAATTGTAAACTGACCAAAACTGAACCAACCCGACCATATATATATATATATATATATATATATATATTATATTTTAATTATAGTTTTTTAATACGAGAAAGTGGGAAATTCCCATATTTCTTACTCTAAAATATTTTATATCATAAATTTATTTTTTAATAATACAATTATAATTTATTAAATTTAAATTTAACTTTTAAGTTTAACTCTTTTGAACAAACAAACCAAACTGAAAATAGTACCAAATATACACAACCCGAGTTGGCAGGTTTTCACTAATAGTCAATCTGTTTCAAGTGGCAAACTCCCAATCCAACCAGTTCCATTTGGTTGGTTAAACAACCTACAACCAAACTGAACCAATCCTTGAACACTCCTAATTTTAGCTAAATAAAAGTCTAATCTCTAATAAAAATAATAGTTTAATCTCCAATAATTATTGAAAATTAATAGCAAAATACACAATTATTGAAAAAAATAAAAATACAATAAATATGATAAATTAAATTTAAAAGTTAAATAATAGTTGTTTAATCTCCAAAAATTATTGGCAATTCTTTAAATAACAAAATAAAAATAGATTTGTAAATAATTATTGAAAACATATTTATCAAAAAATACAATCAATAATTACTGAAAACAAAATAAATATTAATTTTAATATATATATATATATAAATATATAATGAATATACACTATTATTGTAAAATTATTACTAATAAATATTATATTTCTGAAATTTACTTTCTATAATTATTAATTGATACAAGTGGAATCAGTTATTTACAATATTATTTAGTTATTTAAATAATATTGTTATTTAAAATTTTAAAATATTAATTATTTATTAAATTGAATAATCCATAAAATTATAATTAGTACTATTATTATGTAATTCATTAATTTTGTAAAATATTAAATTATTATTAATATGAATATTATGAAATCTATTATAATTATTTTTCTACTGTTAAGATTTTTTAATTCATTACATAATTTCTTTATTTTAACTATTTAAAATTTAGTTAATTTAAAATTTTCGTTATTTAAAATTTTAAATAATATGTAAAAAATTAAAAAATTCATTATTTGAATTTTATTTATTTTAATGTTATTATGTAACATTAAATATTTTTTTATGTAATTATTTGGCTATTTTTAATGTTTTTTATTTAAGATATTTAGTTATTGAAATATTTAAATAATGTTTTGTTTTTTAGTGTTACATTTTTATTATTTGAATAGCATTTAAATTGAATAATTCATAAAATTATAATTTATATTCTCACTACATAATTTCATGATGAATTTTGTAAACATATAGAATTATTAATAATATTAATATTATTAAATCTATTATAGTTAATTTGTGTTTTGGATAAATATTTTAAATTTAGTATATAATTTCATTATAATATTTAAATAATTATAATTTTTTTAAATTGACACTTTCTTTAGATAGATGTAGATAAAAAAGTGGGGGAGAGGATAAATAGGAATTAGAGATAGCTTGGGAGGGAATCTCTCTACTAAATTATATATAATTTAAGAGATAAATAGGAGTTAGAGATGATTTAGGAGATAGATAGGAATTAGAGACAATTTAGGAGAAAGTGGGGTTTGGAGCAAGGAGAGGCATAGTGACATGGACTGATAAATAAATTGTCAATATTGATGAGGAAGCTTCTCCAAGGTTGGAGAAGTTCAAGAAGGTTTCATATGGTGTATCTCTTAGACCCTAAAAACCGAAGAAATGGGTATCATGCTTCCAGAGATTGGGCCTATGTGGTATGGGTTTCATAGGCACTACCGCCTTTCTGGGGTTTTCAGCAAAGTTGGATGAAGTGACTAAGGTGGCGTTTGATTGCATTTTTCAGATGTCTGGACTTGAAAATGTTGCTTTTCAAACATCTTCTTTGTTTGGTATGACCTCTTATTATAAACCTGAAATTGGATTTCAGATCTCAATTTCTAAGAGGTGGGGAGACCGCTTAATGCGCTCAAACCTACTAATTCAGAGGTGCATAAAAGACATAAATGCCCTCAAAGAAAATTTAATTTTACATGTTTTTGTCCTTCATGTAAATTAAATAGAACTGTCCCTGCGACCTAATGAAGCTCCACCGCTGCTCTCTCTCTCTCTCTCTCCTATATTCCCGCCACTCTCTCGCTCTCGCTCTCTGCCCTGTCTTCCCACCATTGTCGCTACAAGTTGTAGCAGCGGCTCTCTCTCTCCCCCTGTCTTCCCTCTCTCTCTCTCTCTCTCTCTCTCTTGTCTTCCCACCACTGCCACCGCCGCTACAAGATGCAGCGGCGGCTCTCTCTCTCTCCCCCTGTCTTCCCACCACCACCACTACTGCTGCAACTCTCTCTCTCTCTCTCCCTCCCTCCCTTCCTTGTCTTCCCACCACCACCACCGCTGTTGCAACATGCAATAGTAGTGGTTCGATGAATAATAATAATATTTTTATTAATTTATTAATATTTTTAATATTTTTTATTAAACTTACTTGTGTTATTTATTAATTATTTTTATTAACTAGTAATTATTAATTATTTCAATATTTTTATAGTCATTAATTTTTTTTTTAATTTTAATCATTTCATTTATTAATTAATAATTTATTATTTTTTACTTGTATTGTTTCAACATTATTTTGAGGTTGAAATTTATTTTTTAAGAGATAATGCAAATTGAACTCAACATTTCCAAATAATATGTTCTAGGGGTAAAATAGTAAAATCAATAAATTTCGGATGGTAAAGGGTTGCTCTAACACAAACAAACTCATGGATTCAGATCCTCTAAAAAGTAGGAAAACAAATTTTCATCTTTTCAGATTTCAGACACTTTTAATATCTTTTTAACTTTTCATATCTGAATTTTCAGATTTATCAAACGCCACCTAAGTGGAGTTATTGACACCGATCTTTACTCTAGACTACTTTAAATCAGTTGTGCCGATGTTAGGAGGAAGTTGGCCTATTCATCCCTTGCATGTATTGATTGATTATGAGAGACGGGATCAAAGAAGGATAATATTGAGTCATAGTTCGTTGCTGAAAGGGCTGATGGATTATCATAAGTGGGGAGGTGGTTTTGGTTTTCAGGATTTTCTCCTTTGAAAAGATCATAGAAAAGCAATAAGGTGTTATTCGAATGTTTCATTTTGAAAATTTAAAAACGAATAATAGATAAAATAATATTTTTCATCTTTCCATTAACGAACACTAACAACAGGCGAGAATTTAGTCAATTGTCAAAAAATTTCAAGGGATACATTGAATCATAAGTAGAGTTATTGGTGAATAAAACAATAAATATTTCAAAGATGGACTGAACTTGTGTGCCACTTTAGACTAAAACGAGGTGAACTTACTAAGTCCAGATTTGCAACCAACTTTGTAGTTGCTGATTTACATCCGAAGTCCAAAGATAGAAGATGAATAACATAAAACAAGAATCAGAGTATGGGCATATTTATTCTTTCCGTACCATATCTTTGCCGCATCATAAATTTTCCCTAATAAATTTGAAAGTTCAAAACACTCTCCCTTACTAATATAGAATAGAGAGACTCCTATAATAATTAATCCACCGCATCATAGATTTTTCCCTCTTTTTAATTCGTTCTCTTTCTCCAGAGTCCAGAACAGAAGCTTCTGAACCTCCTTTATCCGTTTTAGTATTCCTTGGTTTTCTCTTCTTTCTATGATTTTTTTCTAATTCTAGTTTTATTTCCAACACCTATAACTTTATTCTTAAAATTGTATGTGTTATGTAATCGTCAGAGCATGCTTTAAGCATGCATGGGTGTTAGAAATTTTAATCATAATAAATTAATAATACTTTCTTATGGCCAA